GTATCCTCGTCTGGGTTATCCTCAGGGAAAAACCCATTCATTAGTGTCATAATTGTGCCCTCAATTCCCTCTGTATAAGTGGTTCCATCCTTTATCGTTGTTAAGTATTGTGGCTGTCTAATTTTATTGATACAAGCTTTATAAATGTAGCCCCAAGGCTTATTCGAGCTTTGGGTACAGAAATCTTGCCAGGATTTGATCTTCGCTTCTTTAATCTTTGCCTTATACTTCCTACTATGTTCCAAATATTCACTCTTACTTTTCTGTCGTATTTCTTCCCTCCTGTTTCTTTGATATCGGCGTCTCAGCCGGTTATTTGTTTTCCGCCACTCTCCCAATTCACTGGTCCACCACGGGACCTTCTTCCGTCCCTTCTTCTTTTTAGGGATGGTTTCCTCACATATCTGAACCACTTTATTATTAAATTCTGTAATTATCATTTCCGCCCTTTCCTTTGTCATTATGATATCGAGGCTTGTGCTCTGCATAACCTCTTCCAGTCTTTCCTGAAACAGAGTCCAATTGGCATGTCTAACTGCATACTGCATTGTATCTTCTTCCACTATCCTGTCTTGATGTCCTATATCTATGTAAATGTAACCATGGTCACTTAGACTACTGACCGGCGCAACTGTCCACTGTGATACTCTGCTTAAAGCTCTTTCATTGCATACAGTCACATCTATCCAACTTCTTCCTGTTTGAGCATCGAAAGTTGGAGGTGACTCTGGATCATTAAGTAGGTGTAACTGGTTGGAACTGACAAAATCCAAAAATAATTCTGCTCTGTCATCATTATTTGTGTCACCCCATAGTTGGGAATGCGCATTAATGTCACCCCCTATTATTACTTGCTTATGTGCAAAAGTTGTAATCACTTCATCTAAATTCGAAAGAAGGGGACCTAAGTCCTCAGTTATCGGGCAATATATACTCACTAATACCATGCTTTCACTACCACTTCCTATCTCGAAACAAGTCATGCTATCATTGCTCCAGTTACCATAGAATAACACTGGTATTGACGTATTGTTCACTATAGCCATTGTTCTTGGTCTTACTCCTTCATCTACATTATATAGAGTTCTATATGATGTTCTTAAATAGCCTGGTACACCCCTGTAACAATAGGGCTCCTGCACCAAAGCTATATCAAGTTTTTCCATCGTTTTAGTCAGTGCCAATGTAGCCGCTATCGATCTTTGCACGTTCACTTGAACCATTTTAATCTTTATATTTCTATTATTGACTGCCATAATCGATCTTAGCAATTATGAGTCGACGTACCTTTTGCACTAAAGGGCATTTCTTATCAAAGGCATTATGGCTCACTTCTCTTAATTTCTCTCGTTTACAATTGCAACATTCCACTCTATGTTTATTGGGACAATCCCGATACTTGTGGTTATTACCACATTGACTACATACTATGTCCTTCTCAGGACAATTTTTGGCAATGTGTCCTATTTTGCAACATTTGAAGCATTGTGCCACATTGATATAATCTTCAATGCCACAGCGTGACCAACCTAGATTGATCTTTTTCCTTGGCAACAACATCTGTCTCACTTTTGGAGTGACCTCAATCACCCAATTTACTGTTCTTTTCTCTCTACTTCCAAATTGGAACTTTAACTCAATCTCCTTGGCATACTCCTCCATTGTCATACCTGTGCTCAAAACTTCATTCTGTTCATAAAGACAATCCAGTATTTCTTCTTTCGGAGTGTCCTTAGCCACCCCATAGATGATTAGTCTTGGTCGCTTCTTCGCGGGCTCCCTTGTCCTAAGGCCCGTCTTTTCTTCTATTTCTTTACGAAGTTTATTCTTGTCTTCAACACTATTAAGTTCAATGGCAATCCCTCCCTTACGCAGTTTACGGACTGCCTGTATACCGACTCCTATCTTCTTTGGATCCACTTTCTTCTTTAACTGTTCTTTTGTATATTCAGGATCATCTCCTTCTTTCGACGGTTCCACCAAAATAACCTCTTTAGGTTTACTTGTCTTCTTAGGTGCAGTAACCTGTGCATAACTTTGCGGAAAAGAAGTCTGTTTATTCAAAACTTGATCCAGCTTTTTGCTGATGTTTTCCATTGCGGCTTGCAACGGTACCGCTTCTTCTTTGTGGCGAAATAAGTCTATTAATTTATCGATTTGTTCAACCACGTAGCTCACGTGGCTTTTGGAGTTTATCCGACTTTTGCCACTGTTCAGCATATACTCCTCTATATTATCTCTGATTCCTTCTGCCGTTATAATTCGTTCATCATGCAGGGAAACTTCCATTTCCTGCGACGACACCTCGTCGTCTGTATCAGAGGTTTTCTGTCTCTTTGCCATAGTCCTTAAAAGGACTGTTTTTTAATAGTAAGAAACGCAGTAACTGTTTAGTTTCGCCCACGAGGGGCTACTTGCGGGCAGGACCACTTGGAGGTACAGTTACTACTTCCCCTTGGTTTCGTTATCGCACTTACAAGGAGAGCAAATTTGCAAGGCAAAACTGACGCCAAAGACGCACGAAATAGCTCACTATAAAGCACAACGATACAATTGGGGCACCCTGCCCGCAATCAATGTTGTTCAAATCTGATTTTCTGTGATGCTTCTAACATGTTGTGATACTATCTTTCAAGGCTGCCAAATTTGCAACATGTCCTGAATAAGCCACACTTTAAGTGTCCCCACAAATTAAACTGCTTATTATTGCTTGCAGTACCAAAAGTGTTAGTGTAATGAGTTTTGGTACTTTCATTTTTTTAGAAATTTCTTCTACATATGCTAAAATGTCACTATACCAAATCTGATTGCATTTGAACTGCTAAACCTCTCTCTAGACAGTATCAAAACTTTCACTTTTACATGAAAAATTTTATTCATAATCACCATATAATATTTTTAAATCCTATTTATAAGCCTTTGTCAGATATTCTATCTTTTCATTTTAAAATAACTCAACTTTTCCAAATTCTTTCAAATCAAATTTTTGAGACTTGAATCTTCCTGACAGCATGAAAGATATACCATTAAAACAAATTAAAAGAAAACACAATTACTTGTTTGTATCAACAATACATGATTCAATTGTTGTTAACTTGATTTGAAGCAATTTGGTTATTCTAAAACAGAAAGCTGGAAAACATGACGAGGGCTCATAAACAGGGCCAAAAACATTGACAATTATGAATAAAATTTTTCAGTGTAAAGGTGAAAGTTTTGATACAGTAGTATGAGTTGTATAAGAATGAATATTCTCTAGGCAGTTTTAAATAGGAATACTTTAATTACAATCACTCAGTATATATGGAATGATTGTAATTAAATTATATTATAATGAAAATTTATCTTAAATAATAATTTTAAATTAATTCATAATTTAAGTAGCCAATAAAATTTTGTCAAACATCACAACATTAATATAAACTAATATAGACAAATTGTATTAACTTTTAAAATATATACAGTAAAACCTGTCTATGGCAGCCACTCACGGTTCCTTCAAAAAGTGGTTTTTTAGACAGGTGGTGCTGTAATACTGTATTTTTGTGCATATTTTGCGCACTTTTTAGCCATTTCTACTAAGCAAAACTTGAGGTGAGCGAAAATAAGCAAATTTTTTCAACGATAGGGCTATATTGGTATTGTATTTTATTCTTATCGGATAACTCGATTTACAGGAGTCATCGTCATTTTATAAGACAGATTTAATACCAATATTTTAAAAATTAATACAATAGTCGCATTTTCTCGATTATAATGTACACTTTCTTTTTTCAGACTTAATTAATTCTACTTTGTTGTTTTTATTCGCTCCTCAGTTACATGTATTATGTCATCGATACACAAGAGCATTGTATCTCTACATCATTTTGGTTTTGATATTCGTTAGTTTAATCTTATTTTAACTTTAAAAATACTGTATTTTTTAATATTTTCTTAAGTACAATAAGAAAAATTATTAATTAATAATAAAACAATTTTATTTTTTCTCATTATACGATTTCATTACATTCCGCGATTGTCATTGTGGAATTGAAAAAGGAAGGTTGCCTTAAAACTGATTTTTGCATTAATGCGTTTATTGTTTCTTGAATATTTTGTGTGCGAAAATTACTTGAATATTATTTTTCTAAAAATATTGTGGAAATAAGGTAGGTTGATACAGAAACTATTTATTGGACATGTACTGTACATGAGCTTCAAAATAAATACATAAAAATAAATTTTATCAAACGATGCGATCATCCGATTAATTGTATCGTGTACAATATTTTACATCCCCAAGGAAAATACTGTAGGTCTACGGTAAAATCAATTTCATTTTCCCACAGTTAAACTTCACTGGTAATTGCTGTTGTGATAACTTTAACACGATCTTCTAACGACAGAACTTTGCATTTCTTTTGTTTTTCGGACAATTTCGAACAAACTGAAATGAATTTCCTTTGTTACTAGACTAATTCATTAACACCTGCACCTAATTTCAAGGGTGGGAGAAGTGACCGAGGTGGGTTCAAACCAGAGTTTAAACTAATTCATTATATTAGGAGAGGGGAATGTTGTTGAACAATAGTTTAGACCAGATGTATTCGCAGAAGTGTTATTACTGTTGTTGTTTGTTGTTTCAGACCAAAAATCGATGCCCATGGTTGCATTACAAATGTGGTTGTTTAATACAGGTAACTAATACGAAGACTCTATGGATAAACTATTCGATGCCAGAAATTTTTGCCCATTTTGACAGGTGCCCATCAAATGCAGGTGGTTGCTAAGCAGTTTTCACTGTATATAGTATATAACTATTTATTTATATATGTATATATCAGATTAACATTAATAAATAGATCAACTGTAATTGATAATTTATTATATAATCATAAAAATTATTTCAACAATGAAAATGTGAAATGTTGTGTACAATTTTATACAATTATGTAAATGCCTGACATAAAAAAAGAGAGAGAATTACTTTGTAATATTAGTAAAAGTATAATATTTACCATTTGAAACAAGATCACTAAGTCCAATAGTATCATCATTATGGAATGCTTCTGAACCAATTATATGAGGTAATGGACGATTAAGATAAGGATCCTATTACCATCATCAAACACAATAAATTTATTTATACATAAATATTGCTTTAATTAAAATTAATATGTAAGATTTAAAAACCTTTGGTTCTAGTATAGATTCACCATGTGTGGTCCTGCCTTCATCTTCACTGTCAGAATCTTGTTGCAATTCAACTTTATCAAAGGCATTTTCAATTACTTCCAAGCCAAGAGAAAGAGCTGCTGTTATTTGAGGTATTATTTCAGCTTCTCTCTGCTCTTTAGTCTAAAAGCAATAAATAACAAGTAAATGCATACATCTGTATTTGTAAGATTTTATTGTGGATGTCGTATTTTTAATTAAAACTAATGAAACTTTCATTTATAGACAAGAAACTATATAAACAGACAACCTATTATTACTACTAAGCAAATGTCATCTGGATTTTTAAATCTTCTGAAACCATGTTGTCTTATTTCTTTGATTCACTAATACAAGGTGTGTTTCTATTTCAACACTTGGCAGTATTTCATCTTTATTTAGATGATCATTAGTTGAACTATTTAGTTGAATCAACTAAATAAAGATGAAATATTGACACGTGTTGAAATAGAAAAACACCTTGTGTTAGTGAATCAAAAAAATCTGGATTTTTATTAGGCTACTATGAGACTAATCAATCATTTGATTAGTAATTGATGTAAGCAATCATTTGAAACTATTTGATGTAAGTAATCATTTGAAACTATTTGATGTAAGCAAGAAATAGGCAGTTATCATCCTGTATTAAGTTTAATGATTATAAATAAATTTAATTTAGAATATTCTAAAAGAAAAGATTGGTCTTGGCAGGAGTTGAACCAAAACTCCTCACCATGCACACACATTGCCAGTTTCACTACCTAGACCTCCATCCAATCTTCACTTTCAAACCAATTAATTTAGATATAACCATACTAGTCTCTGAGTGCACCAACTGGGAACAACTCAATGCTCAATATAACTTAGAATATTCCTTCAGAGTATTCTAAATTATATTTATTTCTAATTTTTCAATTTAATACAAGATGGCAGTTTAATCACTATTTCTAGTCCAAATTGCTTAATTAGCTTCATAGTAAAAATATGGCTGTAATATTTTAGAAGTATCAAGAAATAGTTTATACAGGAAGAATTTTCAACTTGAGTTCTCTTGTAGATAATAAATTTTAAAGTCAGACATATATTTATTTTTGAAGTATAGTCATTATGACACTATAAAACAGTTAAAAAGAAAAAAAAATCAAAAGGAATTTATTTTATATAAAATTTATGCAGAAACATATTTTAATCTATAGGAAATCAATAACAATTTATGTTAAAGAAAATTTAGGAAAAAATCTTTGTAATCCATAATTTTTTTCTAAATTTCTTTTAACATAAAATAGCATTTCAGTAAATTCAGAAATAATTGTTATTAAAAAAATAAGTGCTTACAGTTAAAAAATAGTGATACTACAGCAAATTAACAAGAAACAGCTGCTACTGGTGTTTTTATTTGTTTGTTTGTTTGTTTGTTTGTTTGTTTGTTTGTTTGTTTGTTTGTTTGTGTGTGTGTGTGTGTATATATATACAATACTTGGAAATAATGCANTATTTGGAATACAATATATTAATATATAGGGTCTAACATACGTGTCTACTCCATTCAAATGAAATTTGGTAAACATGTAGCCCTAAATACAAACAGCTCCTTGTCCAAATACAGGCATACCCTGAGGTTATATATCTAATGTTATTCCATCAAATAGTAGTTGTAATGTAAATTGCCATTTCTCTCTCATACTTTTAATTAAAAAAAAAAGAATGTTGTTTCACCTCATGGAAAGTTTTTAAGCAATGACCAATATGGTTTTATGCCTCATTGTTCCAGAGAATGTCCTTGTTAAATTGTCTCATACTCTACAGCATCCTTTCTCAAAGTGGGCAATAATGCCCCCTTGTGGGTGCTTGAGGCTTTCAGGGGGGCAGTAGAAGACTCAGTGATTTAAATATGAGTTTTATTTCTTCTCATTGAAACATTCTTTGATCTCAGAAATAGTATATGGGCCACACCCTATCTATCCTATCCATATAATAATGTATGTTTAAACATTATATTTGCAATAAATGTTTTTTAAGATATGCAACAGATGGTAATGTAAAAAGGTAAGTTAAAAAATATGGGACACTATCAAATTGGGTGGTGGTCGAAATAAGTTTGAGAACCTGTGCTCTACAGCAAGAATAGAGACTGATGTTTCTGTTAATATTTCTAGATATAAAAGGCACATTTAACAATGTGTGGCGGCCCTCAGTTTTAAAACTTATCAGAAATACTACAGTATCTCAAATTATTTTCTATTTGCTCAAGGATTTCTTAAAAGACAGAACAGCTGAGCTTAAATTGGGCTTTGCTAAAAAACCTGCTCCTTAAATAAAGGCTGTCCTCAAGACTCAATATTTGGACCCCTACTCTGGAATATTATAAATAATATTCCAGAGTAGGGGTCCAAATATTGAGTCTTGATTTGATAATTAAATTATCAGAAAGTTTGTGTTGATTATAAAATCAGCTAGATCATTAAAAAATAATTAATTCATGTTTCCCAAATTTTCTTAAAACCAAGATATTATTTGTCTTCACCTGGATACACAAAGCAAAAACTATACAGACGACGACATTTGAAATAGATGAAGTTTTGTATTAGTGGGAATAGCTAAGTTCGATCATGGTAGGAGTAGAAATATATGATGGGTATATCTGTGGTTTGTTTTATCATGAAATGGACATAATCTGAAATATGCCTGTAATAGGATCCACTCCTCAAGCATTTCTGAAAAACGAGCCTCTTAAAATTGAGTGTTTAGCTTACAAGTCTGTCAGTTTCACATTTCCTTGGAATGGCAATAGCAGAGTGGATAGGATGCCAGGCACTGAAACTATACAATATAGGTTTAAATTTTCAAAATTTTAGTTTTTTTAACATATAACATAATTATTGTATTATTTTACCATATCATTATTATTATTCCTCATGTGTAAAGCTTATAAAGCAAGAGATTAAAAAATTGTAACATCTGTTTAGCAAAAAAGTCTCCCTAGATTACACTCTTTTATGTCATTAAATAAAATTTTTGCTTGTTCAGATTTATTTTAGATGAAAATGTGTGAAAGTATTGTTCATGGTTACATACTATGTCACCACAAGTGACTAAGCCTCAGATGTTACTGCAAAAGGATGAAAAAGGCAAGTCTGATATGAAAATAGACTAGCATAGTCGCAGTGGTTTTTTTTAATTGTTAATGTTAGACAATTTCCTCACATGCTCATGTTTGTTACACTTCAAATATAACAATACTGCCATATCTGAAAATAAAAAGGAAATAAAAGAATAGAAATAGTAGATGAAAAAAATTTCAAAAATATAATTTTTCTTTTACATTTTAAATACAGTCAAACTTGGTTATAAGCATGGATATAGTGAGTTCACAGTTATATTGAGTAAGACACCACAACAATTTTAATTTGTGTGTATTTCCATACATTTTCTCAAGGTTATAACAAGTGTACTTCCTGGATATACCAAGCAAATTTTCGATAGATATGCAAACAGACAAACATTCTTAATTGTTCTAGTAGTAAGAAATATGATATTGAATTCTTGAAAGAGATAAAACTGAAAGGGTTACTTAGTTTTATGCCATTGGATAATGAGTTTTATGATCTACATTGATTACAGGCCTATTCAATACTTACCTTTCTTTTTGGAGACCATCCCCTCTTTTTTGACTAGCTTCTGGCCCTACTCTGCCAATTCATTCAATCATCAATACTATTGGAAAATTACCATATACTCTAGTTAGAAATGAATCCTTCTATGAGAATGATGTCTATGAAGAACAGAAAATTTCTCTTGGTTTATGAAAAAGTAGAAATTATTTGCAACTTTGAATGTGGTGCTAAAAATATTGAAAAGCATGGAAAGTTTTCTTTGTCATCTTCGACAATATCAACATTATGGAAAAATAAAGCAATCATTAATTTTAAGATCTGTAGACAAAAAGACTAACTAAAATTAGGCATATTATTAATTAGTATTATCTTTAATTACAAAAAAGTAAATTGTTTAATATTAATTATATTGCAGTTTATACTGTATTTTTATTAATAGTCATAAAATGTATAACTTTTTTTGGATCAAATTATTTGGAATAAAAAACAGAAGATAGATTTTACTAATCACCAGTGGCATAGCTACAAATTTTGCCACCTGCAAGGTGAGTGCCTTGCAGGTGGCAAAACCCCATGTGTTTGTGCCTGAAGCAGCCACTCATTCTCCCCTAGTTATATCATTGCTATAACAAGAAAATCTTGCCAGTCCCCTAATGCTCATTATAACTGAGTTTGACTGTATATAGAAATAATGCAGTAAAATCTTAAATTTTATGAATGTTTTTGTTCTTTTTGAAAAGTTAGAAATTTATTAAATATCTGGTCAAATATAAATAGATTAGTAAAAATTGTATTGATATATTTACAAATAACTAATATTTTCCATGTATTTAGTTCATTATTGTATAATATAAATCTGCATTAACTAACCTGTTCTTCTTGTTTCTGTTGAGTCTCTGGTTCAGGCTGTATTTCATCATCATATACTCTCTAAAAATATTTTAAAATTAATTTTTATACAAGATTTAAATTTTACACATGTGTAACATTTAAATATACAAAACTAAAAAAACTAAATAAATTTAAATACATTTAATTTTTACTTACATTTTCAATAAACTGGGTATTTGATAACATATGAAAATCATTTATTGCATTATTAATTTTTGAAGAAGTAACCTAGAAAAAAAGTAATACAAAATTTGATATTTTAAAGAATTTAATTATAAAATAAAAAATCAGTTTAAAAGTTTCATTACAAACTTATTGCTTAGATAAGCATGATATTTTCACATTGTATTTAGAGAATCTTAGTAGTAAGCTTTAAACATATGAATTTTGTTCTTATTTAATTCAAAAGAATTTAAAATATTTTATTATACTATTTAATTAATATCGTAGCTATACTAAAATTAACAGCACCAAACCTTTCTCACTAATTTCTAGCCTTATTAACAAGAGTACAAATGTTTTCGGCCTTCTTAATAGGCCTTCCTCAGGCACACTGTGGAGCGTCGGTTAGAAGAAGTTTAAATGCTGCCAATGTTTACCCAGGTATCGTCTTACCAGTGACGTCATCGTCGATGATAGGTATACGATACCGAGGGCGAAAATTACATACTTTTGGTAAAGAAGGGAGGTGTGCAGATAGGATACTTGCTAAAGTTGGGGAAAA